AGATCCAGCGAAGCCAGTTGCTGGTTGATAAAGGTCTGCATCGCAACCTGTTGGAAATATTCTTTGTGACCCGCCCGATAAGTTTCTGTCCCGTATAGGAGAACTGACTGACTTGACGTTTTTATTGAAAATCCGACCGAATTTTGTTGTTGATGTTGGCTGAGTGACGAAGATTTCCAGATTGGTTTCAGGTTGATGAATGTGTTTCTTGCTCGCCTTCCCGATTCTCGCTCGATTTGACATCCTCATCCGTTCCCACTGTCTGTAGTTGAGACAATGCTCCCTAGATAAGTGGATGATGTAACCTCTTTCAAATCCCTCGCATTGATGGTAATTGGCGCTGGGTGTTGCTGCTGTTGTTGTTGGTTGGTTGGTTGGTTATTTTCATAACACTTGATAACAATGTTGAATTCTGAAGCTTTAGATCCTAACTCCAGACAAAAAAATACAAACAGTCTACCTCTGTGATGACATTGAAATTATAAAATGCCATGTTGATTACTTGCCCTGTGTTCATGCTTCTTCTCAATACTAGTAATTATAATTTGCAACGAGGAACTCTGACAACAAATTGGCCAATAACCCGTCCTCCAAAAGAAATGAAGTTGGACTGGCCATGCAATCAGGAAAGCATTGAGTGATATCATATTCCTAACTCTATAGTGAATTCTGAATGGAGAAATGATGATTTTGAGGTGTGTCCATGGGTAACATGGAGCAGACAGTATGGAGAGAGGTAACGAAAGCATATAGACAGTCCTGGAGATAGCAGCTAGAACAAACTACTTAGAGCAGGATAAAATGGCGATATGCTGGTGAAGCTCCGTGTTCCACTCAGAACTCAAAGGAATAATATTATTGATTTTCTAGGAAGGTATACTACTAATTTAAATACTACTGTATTTCCTAAGTTGGATATAGTGAATAGGTTACAGGGTTGTGCACTTTCTCTTTCCGGCGTAAGATGGCAATTAAACACCATCAAAAGGAGACTCAAGCAATTTCATCAGCTGAATTGATTATTGATTAAAAGTTAAATCTTCAATTTTTTAATAACTGAATAAAGAAGCTTGATCAACTATTACAGAAATTCAGTAGCTGTCAGAGATGGTCATCGTAAGGCAAACTACATTCCATCTTTCTTTCTGAAGAGGCTCAGTCTAGTGAAAGCATTATACTTTGTGCCTTCTAATTACGCTTTTAGTGAAACACAAATTACATACACTGGTTCATTGTGATCTCAGTCTATCCACTCCAAAAAAATACATTCATTGATTTTCCTACTTTTATTTATTCAAGGCAAGCAAGAATTACCTATGTGTTTCGAAAAGGTTCACTTTTAGAGTGCATCAACAGGATATCTTCTAAAGCACAATAAACCAGTTTTAAAGAATTCCGATTTCGGTTTTAGTTCAATTAAATGACAGTCAAGTGGTATGCATATGATTTCTGACTTTTACATCGACCAAAGTGGGCGACCCCTTGGAATCAAAATCCAGGAACACAAATCAGCCCTGAAAAGACACGATATATATTCCTGTTTCATATCAATGCATATAGACAATTATGGACACGAATTTGATTGGGACAATGTCAAAATCTTAGACAAAGGAAATACCAAAAGTGCAGTCAGGGAATTCCTAGAGGCCTGGTACTCAAACGAATATGTAATTAACAAACACGTTAATATAGACCAAATATACCAACTAATTAAAAGTAAATCATGTGACGAGAAAGTTTAAAATCGGAGTCAACAGAAAATGATCAGTACATATGTAAAGATGGTTACCGGGAGACGCATTTATATCACTCATGAAGAAATTGAAATCACTTTACTTTATGCTAAATATTGCGCTGAAAGGGGATGTTGTCCATAGGGGCAACGAAAGCTCCGCAACTAAACCAACCAGCTCAGAGAACACTATTAATTGCATATCTAAAAATAGTCTCCATTGTTACAGAACTGTACAAATATCGAAAACATCAGACAATTTTTTTGATAAAAAGAGTTTAACATTTATTAAGTAAGACGATGATAATTAAATATGAAATAAGCATATCTTTCAAATAAGGCTGTTGGCTGTCTAGAACATACTGGGTAAAGCTATTGTTGTCCTGACCAATTTAAGCAGTATGCGACACATTCTTTCCAACATGACAACAATCCTTAACATGGTTTATTTACAATACCCAGTCACCAAATTAAAAGCTTCATTGTCGCCAATAAACAAAAAAATTCCAGATACACACAGATTCAGTGAAGACATAATCACTAAATATATATCATCAAATTTATGCCTTCCGTAAGAAATAGAGGACATTATTTAGGACATCATAATTTAGCTTTCTCACAAATATTCGTCCATTTCTGAATGGTGTCTCTTATTCTTCCTGGCACTTTTCAATTTCATTTAGTTATTCCCACTACTGTTGATATACGGAACTATTTTTATCATTTTACTACTTCATCAAACATTTAGTTTTTGAGACTATCTGTGGTAGTTTCGGGTTGAGAAACTCGAATAGATGTATTGTGTGATTTATAAAAAATATCAAATAAACTTTCTTGAGTTTCAGGATATATTCCCTGGACGCTTAAAAAGCGATGGGAATATAAGAATTGGAGTTGTGGATTACCGGATGCATTCCGCTACATTCATTTGCGGAACCCCTCGATTAGCTGTGCATTTTTGTCAACATTAAAAGAAATTATCTATAAGTGATGAAGTAGGTTACTGTGTGACCAGGTGTATACGTTTTTTTTAAATGGATATTTTTATACGGTTTAGAAACGCATAAAAACTAGTACTACTATAATTTACGTGTTGGACATAACATATACTTGAGAGCCAATAAATAAAGTAAAACGCATGTGCAGTAACCAAATTATGCTTAGGGTTATTTGAATTCAAAATTCAATACCTAAAATAAATTTAAAATTATATATGGGGAAGTAGGCAATTTTCACTTGTTGGTGTCCCAGTTGGAGCATAAGACTTCATGAATGAGCTTTGAAGCTTCCACGGTAGAGGTATGTTTTTACGAAGTAAGGTCACTAGGCTCACAATTAGCCTTCCTTCTTTACTAGGCCTACTACTAGATAAATGAAGTTTATTAATGCGTCGACCGAGAATTGAACCTTGAGCTACCTGAATATTCGGCGAGCATTCTACTAGAGAACCACTAGCCCTCTTGATTATCTGTAAATCGCAGTCATCTCTAACGAACCCCGAAGATTAAACAAACTGTTGTGTTAACTGAATGCATAATAAATTTCTGCGATAATCGCTCAAGGACGATTATACTAACATTTGATAAAACTGCGAAAGGTCAAATTACATATATTCAGAAATGCTTTTTGAACCTATATTCTTTATTCCGAAACTTTCCTTATACCTCAGAACTTTACTAAGCTTGTCGAAATTGTATGCATACACTAGATAAATATAAGAATTACAGCATCCTCAGCCGAATTAAAGTCTGCGAACTAACACAAGTTGTTGCTACATTAGCTACTATCAAAAATCAGTTATTTCATTGCCTGCAGTAATATAATGATATCTGTTTGTAAAGTAAGATCAATGGTATTACAGTTCAATAAAGATGCTCAAATTTTAATGATAATAATAAAGATATAGTAGCAAATAGAATATCAGCTAAAATTAAGAAAATTCCAAAAAATTGAGGATCACTCAAACCTCGATGGCCAAGGTAAGGATAATGTCTGGACGCACAAATTAGGCTGAGGCTGTTGGGATCCATATTAAGAAGCCTAATTTGTGAGTACAAAAAATGTTGGTCATTGGTCATCTAGGTTTGAATGATCCTGAATTTTTGTGGAATTTTCCTTATTTTAGTTGATATTCTATTTGCTACTTTATTGATACCTGTCGAAATTTGGATGTCGACGACAAAAATGATACTCAATTTCTAACCATTATAAACTAGAGTTTAGCCATTTGCTGTCGTATTTTCCACATGGAATAGAAACACTGTATTCTACGCTTACACCAAAGTACGATAACACCTAAAACCCTTTCCCTGAAGCAAAACAGAAACAGCTCACAACCACAAGAATTTGGAAAGCAACATTCATTCATTCTCTTACAATAAGTATTTCAGTAGAGGACTACTTGTTCTCATTCTATATTCCATGTTTGCTCTCCACATATCATCACTTTTAATTCTGTGTTGTCAAAGCTACTATTGGTATGCACCACTTGCTGCTGTGATAAAGTAATGTGTAAATTCAGAGAAGCGAAACAATGCAACAAAGAAAAGACTGCTAAAGTCCATTAATTTTACCCTTTCTTCTAGTTACTGGGGAAATGTATGTAATGTTTTGGTATCTGAAAGACTTTTTTGTAAAATTAACGTATGGTGAAAAATATAAGCAAAGGCAAGTAATTCTTATGAATTCTTTGAATAACAGTTTGCGGCTTACGTTGTTCCTTAAAATTAATCTAAATGTTTTTGAAATAGATTTGAATTTCACCCCTAAAATATTTTTTTAACATTTGTTTCATGCAACAGTTAAACAGCTTTACTAATACAGTGTTGATATAAGAAGGATTTGATGATCAGCGTATCCAGATTTAAATGAATGGGACCGATAGTTGTTCACATTTATTATTTAGCCTTCTCACTACCTCAGATTCTTCTGCCGAGACGCTCCTGATGACACTATACAAATTAGCGTTGTCTTTACAATCAAATCAGCTTTATGTAACTATTATCACATACCGATATGATTCTCCAATTATAACATCCTTGAATCATTTTACTTAAGCTCTGATCCTATGTTGATAAGTTTCATGCAAATATATCACATATATACACCAATTGAGGACGTTAATTGAAGTTATAAGATAAAGGTTAAGACATCGAATAAATACTAATCAATAGCCCAAAAGTGAACAAAAGCATAATCTCCGAATTTCTTAAAACTATCAAAGAAGAAAATATTCAAAACAAAAAATTGACTGTCTAATTTAACTTACTCGTAAAGCTCTGGGGGAACCCTCGGGTCACAAAGAAGTATTCCACTACTATTTGTGAAACGCACAAACTCTCTGGAGGAGTTAATAAGAATATCTGGACACCTTTGAACACAGACAGCTATTGAGAACTCCATGTTGGCAAAATTAGTATGGTGCAGAAATCTAGAAATGTAACTTTTATATCCTCTTACTTCTGACTAGAAACATTAGCTTGCATGAACGAAAACGGCGTCAGTATTCTTTCACTGCCACAAATGTTTCCATTGCAGTCATAATTATTAAAAAGTATTTGGACATCTGAGAGTGCCATTACATAAATCCAAACACCAAGCTGTCAGTCATGAGGGAGAAAAAATGTTCACTCACTATTATAACATTCAGTATGATGAAGGCACAACCAAAAACCTTATCAGTAAATTTTGACTCAAGTGCCTCTTCATCATACATCGTATTGCCGCTGCCTCATAATTGACCTTCAGTTACCAATCAGTTTGTTTTCACCGCTGCTCAAACCATGTAAAGAATTCAAATACCCAATACTTTTTAGGAGCTAGTGTACACCAATTTGATTTCTTTGTGCTCCCCTTTTGTCTGTGAGGTAAATATTTCTGTTTTTTGATAAACGCCTGCGTAGTTTGTCCCGCCAGCTAACTGTCGTAGCTCTGGATGACTCCAAAAGGAGTGGTGCTGGAATTAATTGATATAGTTCGTAGTATGTGGTGTGTTAAGACCATGTTGCTACTGTAAATAGAAATGATCCTTCCACATGTTAGTCATCCACTATCGTCGAAAAGAGGAGATAATAATAACAGATATAACTAGTGTAGGTTATTCAGACTATAAGACAATATCCAATATCCAATATCGTTTTTACGAGCTAGTATAAACCAATTTGATTTCTTTGTGCTCGCTTCTTGATTGTGAGGTATAGGTTCTTGATCTTCGGTAAACTTCTGCGTAGCTTGTCCCGCCACTCGACTGTCGTAGCTTTGGTTGACTCCAAAGGGAGTAGTGCTGGGATTAATTATATGTGGTTTGTAGTATGAGGTATGTTAAGACTGTTACTACTGTGATTGGAGTTGATCCTTTCGCCAGTTAGTCCTTCGGTATTGTCGACAAGAGAAAAGAGATAGTAATAATAATAATAATATAATAATAATAGATATAATTAGTGAAGCTATTCAGACTAAGAGACAGAAACGAAAATAGGAAACGTAACAACAGTCAGCTCATGAAGTTTGAAGAATAATATATATATCAGTAATAGTAATAATAATAATAATAGTAATTATAATATTAATAAGTTGTCAGGAGAGTAAGACGGGAGAGAATGTAAAGAAGTAAAATGACGAGTTTAATTATCTACCCTGATTGGTAAATGCGATTTTAAGGAGATAGGCCATTTGGATGCAGTCCTTGTATCGCTGCATGGTTGTCCAGCCTTCGCTTAAAGGCGTCCAAAGACGGTGCCATAGCTACATCTGCCGGTAAGGAATTCCAGGGACGACAAACCCGCAGTGAAAAGAAGTGGGAGCGCACCCGGGTCCTTGCCCTCTGGTGAGCTATCCTTCTGGGATTTCCACGTGGAAGCCTATACCTACTCAATGGCAGAACACCTTTGTTTGGGTGATTCTGGTCATTTGTTATTTTGTAGGCAGTAATCAAATCCCCCCTAAGCCGACGGTAACTAAGTGTGAACAGGCCTAATTTCTTCAGCCTTTCATCATATGGTTTGTTTCGGAGACCAACCACTCCTTTTGTTGCCCGTCGTTGGACTCTTTCCAAGAGGTTGGCATCTCTTCTCAGCATTGGGGGTGCAATAATATTATGCACCTCAAGGTGTGGCCTGACGTATGTTTTGTACAACATTAGAAAGAGCTCAGGAGTGAGTGCACCTAACTGTCTATGCGTAAAGTGTATGACCGCATATGCCCTCGCTACATCCCCTGTGTAATTTACGCTTGTGTCCATTTTTTCCGTTAGAACTAGACCTAAGTCGCGTTCCGACGTTGTGCAGGACAAGCTTTCATTGCACAGGGTGTAACTTGCATTCTGCAGTCTACAGGTGCGCAACTTCACTACTTTGCACTTTTTCAAGTTGAAAGTCATGCCACTGGCCACCGCCCAGTCTTCCAGAAGGTTTAGGTCTTCCTGTAGCCTATCTGAGTCCTCCGGACACTTTATCGCCCTCCATATTTTTACGTCGTCAGCGTACAGGAGAGTCGGGCAGCTCAGACGGCGTGGTAGATCATTGATGAAAATCAAAAACATCAGTGGTCCTAGGATAGAACCCTGCGACACTCCTGATGACGATCTGTGCCAAGATGATCGGACTCGGTTAACCTTAGTGCAAAATTGCCTGTCGGCTAGGTAGTCCTTCAACCATGACAGAAGTGGCTCACCTATGCCTGCCTGTCTTATTTTATGTAGGAGAAGGTCATGGTGAACAGTGTCAAATGCCTTCTCAAAGTCTAGGAAGACCACATGGACTGGTACGTTCAAGTCCCAGCATGATGTCCAGTCGTCCCAAGCTGACAGTAGGTTAGTGACGCAGGATCTGCCTTTTCTGAAACCATGTTGGGCTTCATGCAGTATATTAGTCCTATCGAAATATTCCCTGATGTGGTCGTCAATAATACTTTCCAGTACTTTTGATACCACTGGGAGTAGAGCTACTGGTCTATAGCTAGCAGCGTTTTGCCTGTCCCCACCCTTGAAGATTGGAGAAAGGATGGCTCTTTTCCACTCCCTTGGCAGGGTCCCCGAATCCATTGAGTGTTGGAACAAGTCGCACAGGGGTCTACAGAGAGCCTCGGCGCACTGTTTCAGAACAGATGGCCTGATGTCATCACAACCTGGGGACTTCCCAGGTATGAGTCGCTGTAGCTTCCTTAGTACTATTGCGGGGTTTATTTGGGGAGTAGTCGCTAGGTCTTCCTCCTCTGAAATAGTGGTGCCACCATTTTGGTCCGTAACTGTAATATCCACATTGCTGTTTAGCTGTTTAGCGAAGGCTGAACTGAATGTTTCAGCCATCTCCAGACTAGTGAGATATTGACCGTTTGGGCCTACTAAGGCGCATGCCCCTTGGTTTGTCGGTTTTCTTTCCGACATGAATCGGTACAAGTTTTTAGGGTTTGATAGGAGTTTTTTAGCAAGGTTAGCCTGGAATGACCTTCTGTCCCTCCTAACTCTTGCATTACACCGGTTCCTGAGTTCGAGGTATGCATCATGGTCGGTCTGACTCTTAGATACACGCCACGTAAACCAAGCCCTCCGCTTTGCTTGCAGAATACGTTGCGTGCCTCTCTTCAACCATGACGTCTTTCTCTTAGGCTGTGTTGTGACTAAAGGGACGGTATCCGAGATTGCTGCATGGATAATCTTTTTTACCACTTCCCAGTGTTCATCCACAGATAGGTCGTCCCATGCTAAGGGCCAGTCTGCGTCGGACAAGAGCCTCCGCATTTCAGCATAGTCAGCCTTGCTGTAGCACAGACATGGTCGCGTAACATCCCATTGCAAACGCTCACGGAGGACAAGATCGAAACCTATGACTGCATGGTCACTGCTTCCCAGAGGAGTCATGATCTGGACCTTTTCGACGAGTAGCTGGTCACTAGTTAGAATATAATCTAGTTTTGATGACTTTCCACTAGGGCCCCACCTAGTGTCGTCTCCAACATTCTCAGTCAGTCCCGTGTTTCGAATAGTTTGCAGTAGGTTTCGGCCAAATTTTCCCTTAGCACACCCGGAGCCAAGGTTCAGTGATGGAGCATTGAAATCTCCAGCTATGGTGATTTGGTCGTAGCCCAAATCTCGTATTCCTGTGATAGTGCTGAGCAGTAGCTGATTGTGCTCTGCCCCACAGGTGGGAGATCGGTAGATGCCACCCAGTAAGTGCTTGGTGTGGCCTACGGTGAAATGACACCATATGGAGTCTGGGAGTTCGATAAGTGGTGGGTCCGTTGCGCGCACACATTTAAGTTGCCTATCAAAGTATATAGCAACTCCCCCTCCTTCCTTATTATCCCTGTCTCTCCTGACCAGTACCATATCACCTATACTGATTTCATTGTCGGCGATAGTGGGGTTTAGCCACGTTTCAGTAAGAATGATTATTTTCAGTTGAAGGTGTGCTTGGAGATTTCGGAGTTCACCTACTTTCCCTCTCAGCCCCCTCACATTGCTATATAGGCAACTGACAGTGAGTCTAACAACCTCAGAGTGTTGTGGGGTAGTTGACGTGAAACCGTCTGCTGGTGGGGGACTTGATGTTGGAACTAGTTGGCCGATTCCGATAGAACCGGCCCGTTGTAGTTTTTTTCAATGGATTTAGGCAGGACACTTGGGAGACACAGACTATTATTCTCAGAGCTGCATCGCTCTAGTGTCACCGAAGCTTGGGGTCGTATTAAAGCCTCAGTTTGCTGCCTCCTTATATTTCTGGGTCTGCTTTCACAGCATCGGATGTGTCCTCCAATTTTTCCCTTGGTCTCATACCACCGTTGAAGTGATATGGACAACTGCTCCGGGGAGTTGAATGTGACACACAGCAGCTTTGGAGAGTTAATCAATGTTAGATGAGCGGGACGAGGTAGTCGGAAAATGGAGATGGCTCCAGAAGCGCCAGGGGCCATCTGAGATGACAGCCATCTCCATTGTTGTACGTCGTGCATGTGTTTTTCACAAGCAGTGCCGGTTTCCAGCTCCGGAACACCGTGTACCACCATAGAGGTGGAAGGCATCAGTTCCGGTGACTCCCTCGCCATATTTCTGACGGCCCATGGTCTATCTTGCCGCGCTCTTATGTTAGAACTTCTGTCCAGGGCTAGTACCTGAGCCATTAACAGTACTTTTTCGGCCTCTTCGGCAGAGTCCAGTGTAACCCGTAATGGGGGTGGCTTACCCTGAGGCGTGTGGACACCCCTGTACAGTCTGCACAGTTTTGCTGAACTAATGTTCAGACCTAGTTTGCCGCACAGGTTGGACCACTGTTCCTGATCAAACAGGGCCCGTTGTTCGAGCAAGCTATCCGTGCTCACAGGTACGTTAAAGAGGATGAGAGAGTTAGACCGACTACCCTCAGACTTAGGTTTTGCCTTCGGCTTCTTGCAGTCCTTTGCATCATTAGCAACATTAGGCTTCGTCGGTACCTGGACAGCCTTTTTTGTGTTGCCAGGCTTGCTAGTGGATGCAAGTGGTGCCTTTGTAATTTTGCCCTCCCTTGATGTGGATGGAACCTTGCTAATCTTCACCTTGTGAGAATTGGCATTTCCAGTCAGTAGGGCTGGTGTGTCCTTCTTTAAGTCTTTGACCAGTTTCGGCAGTGCGAGTTTAGCAGGGGGGAGCTGCATGATACTGTGTTGGGGCACAAGAGCATGTTATTTCTGCTATCCGCAGACACGCTTTGTGGGACTATGCCAGGGCGACAAAGTGGACACACG